AGCGCTTCTTGGGAAATACCCCAAGTTTCTAACCTTTCTAATGGTTGTTAATTTTTCTAGGAAAAAAAATTAGGAACCATAGTTTTAGTTTTAGCTTATATATATGAAGAAAAAAAAAGTTAAGAAAAAGTACTATTTTTTTATGATTTATAATATTAGTAGTGAAAGTTACAGGAGCAGCAGAGTTAGAGCGCTCGTTGACCTCGCGACGCAGGGTTTCACCCCTACTGTAATTTCTCACTCCTAATCGCATGTCCCTCGTTATTCTATGCTAAGATGTGATCGATGCTACCACTTTTGTTGCTACTGCTTCTCTTGGAAACATTGCTACTGGCTCGAGGCTAGAGGATGTAGCCACTACTGATGTGACAGTTTAGGAAAGTTTTCTACACCCTACTTGTTTTATTTATGTGCATTGGGGACAATGCAAGATCATAAGTGTGGGGTGGGAGTCTGTTATATTTGTGAAATATTTATTTTTATTTTAATTTATTATTTTTCTTGGATTTTCTTTGTCATGGTTCTTTTCCAAGAAGCCTTTTTTTTAACCGGGCATTTTTAATTTAAAAAAACAAGAAAAAGAGTTTTGAAAGAAAGTTCAGAGACTTGATGCAGCCTTTTCTGAGAGTCACCGGGTATGCTTGAATTTTCTTTTTGAGTTCATGCTTTCGTATTGAAGGTTGAAATTGAGTGAACTATGAATTCCATGTACATAGAGTGGTGAGTTCTAATTGAGCATTTTTCATGTTCACATTTCAGTCTAGAACTTTCACGATTTGTTGTTTAAGGCGAAATCTGAGGATGTTCTCAAGTTAGGAAATGATTGTAGGCCATCTTTGTCTAGCCACACGAGCCTAAATTGACCTACCTATAATTATAAACTATCCCTAGATAACCCCTTTGTGCCTAATGACATGTTCACCTTCTTTTTTTGATAGCCTAATGATGCCCCTTAGCCCGTGAAGTTAATTGCATAAATTCTTACTCTATTACCTAATGGCACACGTCATTTGAATATTGTGAAAGTACTTAATACGTGAAGAAAGTAGTGTAAGAAACAAAAGAAAAGGGTTGTCAATCGTTCTTTTTAGTGCAAAATAGAAGCAGTGTTAATAACAGATCTTTCGTTGTTGATGTGTAACTAAAGTGTGAATTTTATGAACATGCCTAGAAAATTATTGAAGATATGCACATCCTTAAGAGATATGTATGCAAGGTAAGGGGTGCATCAAGGAGGCATTGTTAGTTTTGAAGTTATTATACAAAGATGGTTATATTTGGACTACTATTATCAATAGCTTGACAATATATGGTGATGTTGGGAGGTTCTTGGCTTTGGTGTATAATTTAGAAAGGGAGAATGATATACAAAAAACAAAACGAAGAAGAAGAGGAAATGTACTTAAGTATCATGTGATGGTAGTGCCATAGGTAGTTGAGTCATTGTTGCCCATATTATCCTACATGTCCTTGAGCCTACATCACAACCATAGAAAAGTCCTACTTAATTTTTACTTGAGATGCGTACATTAGTGGATAGCGACAAAATGGGCAAGCTTATGGTACTGTTTCATGTGCATGTGAAACTTATTGCTGAGTGTGAGAGCTGTTGATTGCTAATTGCCCCATTATTATGTGATTAATTACATGGTGTATGAGTTTTTGGGCACTTCTTTGCTTGTGAGGTACAATGAAATTTATGTGATCACGAGGTTTTGATTTTCAATGTGTGAGTATGAGTAAAAGAAAGGATCTCTAAATTTCATGGTTGATCTCATCGGAATCCGCTTGTTGAGAAGTTTTGAATTGGTTTTGATTGCTTATGTGTTATGATTGAACCATTTCTCTTCTTTGCTTAGAGGACGAGCAAAAACGTAAGTGTGGGGTAGTGATATTTGGCATAATTCTCTATATTTTGATAGTAGTTTAACCTCATTCTCAAGTGTTCTTGAATAGTTTAGTGGTTAAAACTCACCAAAAATGTGCCTAATTGATGCTCTTTGGTTGATAGGGAGTTGAAAGAAGAATTGAAGGAATTTTGAATTTTTTGGACGAAAATATGCTCAAATTGGAGAAAATGACAAAGTGCAAAAACATCGCATTTTTCCTCTAATATGCGCTCAGTGTGTGCTCATCTGGATAAGGTTAAATGTCGAGCGGAAATTATAAGGATATTTTGGTCTTTAGAGCAAATTTTACACGATATAAAAGCTTTTTTCGCCTCCCCAACCACTATCTCGACCTAGAAAGAAGAGAACATTACTTTCGAAGCAAGTAGGCTTGGAAAAGTCCAAAAACCATCCTAATCGAAGATTTGAAGAGTTTCTCTCAACTTTTCTTATTTTTCGTTTCTTATGGAGATTGTTTTGAGAATAGTCATTATATTTTTTTAGTATAAACATGAGTAGCTAAATTCTCTATCTAGGGTATTGATGAACCCGTTGTTGGGTGGTTTTGAATAAATATTCCAGAATCGTTGATACTTATTCTATTTGTTTGTCTGCGGTTTTAATGAATTCAATTGTTTGAGCTCGCAATTGTTGATGACCTATATTTTGTTATTCTTGGGAAAGGTTGACAAGGTTGGGTCAGTCAATCAACAGTACTTCGGGCTGAATTAAGAAATTACTTAACCCGATTTAGAATTGTTATGGGGACATCATGATTCGACTGTGACCTAGAATTGGACGAGTTTATTATCTTAATTATTTTGGGAAAAATATTTCAAGAATGGTATCGTTGGTAGTTGGGAAACTCTAGCGAACAACTTTAGGTCCAAGGTTGATAGAATAATGCCAAATAAAGTTTCAGGATTTCACTCAATATTAGCCCGGCAATTGGGGGATTCTCTACCTTAGGCTTTTTATCATCTACAAATTTCTTAAGTTATTCTCGACTTCTAGTTTAGTTTGTTGTTAGTTAGTCGAATCTAATTCATTAGTTAATATCCACAAAATTCAAGTATATTTGTCCTTTTTGTTCAACTTAGATTATTTAGTGATTGAGTCGACTAGAACGCTTCATAGCTCCCTGTGGGATTCGACCCCGACTCATAATTGGGTAAATTATATTGCATACGACCGTAGCATATTTCTTATCGAATTGTGTTTTGGACGTCATCACATGGTCATGAAAAAACTTTGTGTTCCTATCACCATCCTTGAACCAGGACATGTTAGCCTTTTATCTCTAGAACTCTTCCTCAATAGCTAAATGTCTAGTCAGGTCAGCTTGCACCGTATGTAACTTTTCTGTATTCAGTTGAAAAGGATTGAGCTCAAACTGAATCTCATGAACTTTTATAATCTCCTCTAGGGTTGCAATCTCCTGGAATATATCTCCAAAGGTTGCCTTGTTCCAGCTTCTTAAAGCATGTTTCACTGCCTTCAATTTGTGCTGAAATTTGATGAAAGAGCTCACGTGGACCTCTATCTGCCAATGCTGCTTTGCCAAGTTCAAGAAAGTTTCATGTTTTGTCCAGAAATTCAAGAATTTGAAAGGCCTTTTAATTTGTCTGATTCATACTACAAGTCTATATTGTATTATATTGTTATTTGTGCATTAAAACTTACAACATGTCCAAAAAGTGTGCAGCATCTTTTACAATCCAATTTGAGAACATCATTTCCCAAGAGACTTCATGAACCAAAGAAATTGAAAATTCAGCTAAGTTATGAGAAAAAGTAAAAATCCTAGAAATTTGTACAAAATCAACATGATCTAAAGTAGAAAACATGCACCATATATTTTCATACGTAACATCCACTTCTCACGGGCTTAACACCCCCTCAATCAAGAAACTTATTTTAATTCATTCAGTAAGTTTTAAAGCATAATTGAACCCAAGGGACAACGCCAGATGCCAATGATAAGTGTGCGTAAGACATATCAAGACCAAAAAAAAAAAAAAAAAAAAAAAAAAAAAAAAAAAAAAAAAAGGAAAAATAGAAAAAAAGGAAGCATTATTGTTGTTTAGAAAAATACCAGACCTTTGAAAAATATTTAATGTGGTGAATGATTTGTCCTGCACTAGTGATGCTGAATGCAAGAGAGAGTGAAATCAAGACTGTCACTAATCTGGATTTATTCTTGACAATAATATTATCAATAGTGACATTATGTCAACTTTCAGTAATGATTTAACAATTTTGTAAATAAAATAAATCAGCTTGTGAATGAAGCAAAAGCTGCTGTTCTGTATTTGTAGTAAATAGTCAGAATAACAATATGAGTCCTAATCCTTAATCAATCCATTTGTTGTTCTTTCAATCTGAAGAAGACTTGTGGTCTATTATACAAATTGTTATTTAATACATTCAGGACAAAATTGTGGCAATATGAAAAGCATTGATAATTGTTATTAGTGATTACTGATATGACATGCAATTAAAATAACTTGGAATATAAAAATAACCTAGAACACTCCAAGAAATGAAGATGACTCAACATGGAACTTTAATGGAAGAAACTCTGTACAAACAGTTTATTAGTCTTTTGTCTGTATTTTTTTGGTTTTTTAAGAAAATGAGAATTCTTTAAAGGGAAAAAGGTATAATTTGGGGTACCCCTTGACGAACCATCTTAATTTTACCTTCCGTGTTGAGATTATTATATCTTTGTAGTTAGTAAATCATCTCGTATTTGGTCTTGATCCTAGCAGATCTCCAACCTCAAATATAAAAATTTTAATATTAAACCATAGTCAAAAGTATAGCTTTAAATTTGCACCTTTTTACCAAGTATTGTGTCTAATGGAATACGCTCAAACTATGCTAGAGCTCCATTAAAGTTAATGGTAAACACGAGACGATTTGTTAATGACAAGGGTATAAATGGCCCAAAAAAACGCACAAATTAAGCTACTTCATAATAAAATGGCAAATCCTGACTTTTTCCCTTCTTTATTATGTAAAGCTCATATTTTTTAGATTTCTTGTCTCCAATTTGGAATTTCAAATGTTTGGACTTCTCATTTGAGAATTATTCTTAAAAGAAATTACTTAAAAATTTCCTCCAGGCTATTATATATACCTACACCAATCATTCAGAACAAACAGTGAAACACTAACCTAAAAAAGAAACTTTCTTTCATCAAGAAGATGATGCAATCAGAGCTTCTTCACAACTCATGGTCTTCCACTTTCCCTCAAACTGAATTTTGTGCTATCCAAATTGATCCCTATGAAAGTCATAAGTATGGTGTTTCTGATTCTTCAATCAACTCCAAGGATCAAGACTCCTCTGGGATTACCTTCTCAGACTTCACATCCCTTTTTCCTGATGATGTTTTTACTGATCTTTCGATGGATGATTTGGAGTTTGATGATGTTTGCATATGGTTAAATGATAGTGAAAGTGAAGGAAATGAAAATATGAATATCTCAATCTCTTGTGAGATGCAAAAGGATGGAGATTTATGGAGTCCTGCTATTTCAGGAGTATCCAGTGAGCCCTCAATTGCAATACCATTGACAAATAGTGCCATTTCACTTGTAATTCCAGGAAATAGTAAAGAAATGGATACTCAAATGAGCCTTCATCATTTATTAGCAGCTTATGGAGAGGCCATGGAAAATGGTCACAAGGAACTATCAGAAGTGATCATAAGAAGCATAAAAGGAAAAATAAATCCTTTAGGCGAATCGTTGGAACGCGTTGCATCCAATTTGTTCTCGCGGATAGCAGATCAAGAAGATTACTTAAAACAAGAATCAAGCAAGAATCTTGAAGTAGCATTTAAGGCTTTCTACCAGATTTTCCCAATAGGGAAATTTGCTCATTTTGCTGCTAACTCAGCAATAATGGAATCCATTCCAGATGATGCAGAAACTATTCACATAGTGGATTTTGACATGGGAGAAGGGATTCAATGGCCTCCAATTATTGAAGCCATGTGTCAAAGAAGAAAGGCTTTGAAATTAACATCCATAAAGAAAACAGAGGAAGAATCAACCAGTGATCAGTGGAGATTTGAGGAGATTAAAAGAAGACTTCTTGATTATGCAAAGCCTTTTGGCCTAAGATTACAAATTGAGGAGATGACAGTTGAAGAGTTGGCAGGTGAAATGAGAAGAATGAAAAAAAGGAATGAATGGTTGGTTTTCAATTGTATGTTTAGACTCCCACACATGGGAAAAACAAAGTGCAGAATCCATGCCTTGGAATTTCTAAAACTAGCTAAGGAATTGTTACTAGCCAATTCTTCAACTCACAGAGGACTTGTCACTTTTGGTGATGGAGAAGCAATGGACAATAGTCACAATACTAATACTTTCTCTGGATTCTTCAACAAGAATTTGATATATTACCAGTTGATTTTCGAGTCGTTGGAGTTGTATTTTCCAGCTTATCTTGCAGAAGCAAGACTTGCCATGGAATCCCTTTTTCTAGCACCTCAAGTCTGCTCATTTTCTTGGTTTCACAACTGGGAAGAGATGACAAGTACTTCTGATTCTTGTGGAGAAACTGGATTGCAAGGCAAGAAAATAAGCAAAGAGAACTTGTTACAAGCCAAGGTATTGGTCAATGAAAGAGAAACTCCATTAAATGTGAGGATTGAAGAACAAAGGCAACATGAAATGGTCTTGGAATGGAAAGGGACACCATTGGTGAGAGTTTCAACTTGGATGTAGATTCAGGGATTCAGAATTTAAGTATATGGTGTTGGATTCTAGAAAAGGTAGTTTAGTGGGTTCTAGATAAATTATTTACACATATTTAGTGGATTTCATAAAACAAATACAGGATTTAGGCCAAAACAACTGAATTCTAAAATTCTACTGAACCAGTAACTAAAATTCTAGCTTGGCGCAGAAGAAAACAATAGCAGCAAACGACATAGAGACACTACAACTCTTTCTCTGCGTCGTTTTCTTTACCATTATTTTTATTGTGTTCTCTGAAGTGAGTGTACAGAGCCATACTAATATTAGTCTGTCTAGTGTCTAGTGTATTTACGTTGTATATATTATTACAGACGAGAGTTGTAAATGACAATTATATATTACTCCCTCCGTTTCAATTTATATGAACCCATTTGATTGGGCGCGGAGTTTAAGAAAAGAGAGAAGACTTTTGAACTTGTGGTGTAAAATGAGGCACATATATTTTGTGTGGCTATAAATCATTGCATAAAGGTAAATTGTTTCCAAATAGGAAAAGGGGTCATTCTTTTTGGCACGGACTGAAAAGAAAATAGGTTCACATAAATTGAAACGGAGGGAACTTTTTTTTTGTTTTCCAACCGATATCTAAGGCCCGACTAAATCGAACTAGCGCTGGAAAATCTCACTTTGGGGTAAAGGTTGTTCAAAACTAAACATATTCACACTATTGTGAGAAACATTGAAGCAAACGCCAAATAGTATAGGTAATCTGCTCCGAACAAAAAGAACGGTATTGGTATCAACAATTAACAATAAACGCTAATCAACAAAAAGATTGAAACGGGCTGCCAGGTCTTACATACAAAACACAAGTGATGTAAAGATTTAAATGGATATCTATTTTTCCTTCTTTTTTTCTTTTTTTCTTTTTTTTCTTTCTTTCTTTCTTTCTTTCCTTCTTTTTACTTCTCCTTTTTTTCCTTTTTTATTCTTTTTTTTTTTTCTGATAAGACGACTTAAGTTGAGATTTATAAAGTAATTATAATGAACTAGTTGTTTTTTGACTTTCACACGCAGTCAGTAGTATTATCTTGAAGTGGTCAAAGCCGATTTGAAGTGATTTTCTTCCAAAATTAAAATGCCAACCCAAAGAGGGGGAAATGCCAGAAAGAATGGGATTATCAACGATCGATTATCAACATATGAATATTGGGTCCAGCATTAGTGTCCAACATATGAATATTGGGTCCAGCATTAGTGTAATACGCGCCCATTAAAGGGAAAACACCTCGTGATGGATAGGGCTCTTTACAACTATGCCTTAGTTAGTCCCAAACAAGTTGGGATCAACTATATGAATTCCTACCAGGATGGTTTTTTATTTTCATATATCTAACTTGATACCTCTGATTTAAGGTAATAAATAGAGGCTCTCTACAGAAATATTTTAGAAATATTTTATCCATCCCACCACGAACCCTTGGGATTGAATACATGCATCAGTTAACCTTCAAATTCTTTAACACATGAAACCCTTGTGGTTGTTACCCTTTCTCGAGGTCAACATGCTACGCAGTTTCAATCAAACAATTAAGATTACCGCTCTACAAACTCTAAGACGTATTATATAATTAATTTGCAAAATAAATCAGCACCATTAGTTTTATGTTTTGTTTTCACATCTTGCCATGGTTTTGTACTCTTTTTTCCTTTTCTTTTTAGTTTTTAATTTTTAATCATATCACATCAGATCAGCAACTCAGGCTCAAACCACCAAAAAGTTCACTTAACCGAGTTTGCAATGCAGATATCACAGCAGCAATTTAGATATTCCTGAAACGAAGCTCATGGATGTCATAACTTCGAATCCACCATCCAACATCAACAATTTTTCTTCAAAGATCAAATACTTTTCTTCAAATAGTTGAGCAAGAAAATGGGGACATGTCACAAATCAGATACTAAAAGTCATAATAGTCATCATTTTTTTACGACTCAACCAATGTAGGTTCCGACTTTGTAAGCAAGCTAGTACAGAAAAGAAAATATCTAGCTCTGCAACAAGAAAGACCAAAGGCAGCATGAAGAAAATAAACTGTAACCTAAGATTTTTAGGCTATTCTTGTGAGTGGTTACAAGATAGAACAAACAATCTACCTGAAGTAAATGGACATTTGAGGGATATCAACATCGTTATCTTCCTCATCCTCACAAGCCACTACCACATCAAAATGTTTCCTGTATGGAGGCAAATCTGCCTTGGCCACTTCCCTGGCCAGATCTACCAACTTCCGATCCATCCGCTCTTTATGCTTAGGGAACATGCTGTTATAAAGTAAGCAGCTCCCATAAGAGATGCTATAAGCGTTCAGACCTTTGTTTTGAAGCCACTGAAGAAGCTCCCTCAAAGTTGGATTATCTTTCAAAATCCACCTGTCCCACACAGTCCAGTTCATGTCTTGATGTTTGACCACCTTTGGTGGAACTGGTTCAGCCATGGAAAATAAAGGAAGAGCCAAGTTGGCGAAAGTGTTGCGATAATCCTCCACCTTATGACCTCCATCCAAAACCTTATAAAGCTCTAGACAAACAAGACCTGTGGCCATAGCAGTGGAAGTAGCAATAGCTGGAATGATTCTCCCTGCTATGAATTTGGCCTTCAGTTTATCCACTTCAGGGATGCTATAGTTTCTAGCCCTCATGTTTGCAAGTCCAGCGATAAGGTCCATATGATAGTTGGTGTCATCGTCCTGTACATTCAAAGAGCTTAGTTGGAAGAGCAGATGGAAGAAATAAATAGACACATGATTATAAATTGAACATCTATCACCAAATAGAGGTGAGAATTTCAATATCTTCCTCGTACAATGTCTGTTAAAACATCATGTGGTTCTTTAAGAGTTTAAGTTAGGCACAAGGCTGTATATACACCTCAGATCCTTTTCCTTGTTTCCTCCCCGAAAACATATTTACGGTATCAAATGATCGCATTCCCAAGATGCCTCTAACATATGCAACATGCAAGAGAGAGAGTGTGTGTACCTTCTCAAATTGAATGGGGTTCATCTTGTAACCTGAAGGCAATTCCTGACGACACGTTTCCAGCTTCATCACCAACTCATTAATGACTGCAGCATCATCAATGGATGAAGCCGCCATGCTGGTTGCTTTCTCATCTGTCACAATCTTCACATCTTTCTTTGGCTGGAAATCGGGGACAATCACTTTATCAACAGCTTCAGCTAACTTTTGAGGAGACTTAACCCAATCTGGAATGAGTATGCCAAATGTTTCTGCTCGTAATATTGAGGCTGCCAGTAGAAACTGAAGGTGACTGGCATCGTCAACAGAAAATTGCAATGGCCGAGGGAAACGCTTTGGTGCAGACCAAAATGGGGCACCACTACTAGTAGTAGCCTCCTCAGGAAAAGTAAATGTCAACTGCTTCACACGGTCTGCAAAGTAATCTTCAAACCTGGTTCCAGGAAAAGCAAGTGGTTAAAAGCATATATCAAAAAGCTGCTCAAAAGGGTAAAAGTTTAGTTGGTTTTTAGATGGTCATACCTCAGGCGAGCCCAAGTTATGCAGTCTTGAAATGTATCACATCTCTCCTTGTCGAGGCATTCAAGAACACGATCCAAAGTGTCCCTGGCCTGTGCATCACCAGCCTTTTGCATAGCAGATATGTAGTCACTAGGATTGATCAGATAAGCATTAACCTCAGTTGGCGTCTTCTCAAGCAAACCCTCAAATTCTGACCGTGCCCATGTTAAGCAATGGTCGATGTTGTGTGGGAAAGAGTGAACTGTACACATAGGTGCCTGTTTTTCTGGTGGATCCCTCGACGCACCATAATTCTCTGTAAGGTGAGATATTACCATCTGAGTGTTGCACTTGGCACCCAGGGTTCCAGACTCCAATAATGGTTTTTGAAAATACAAACATCTCTGATCAATGTAAAGCCTGGCATTCACATTATCGAGTGCATTGATCACAACACTCAAATTCTCCCAGAATGTATCATCGAATACACTTTCTGTTTCAGGGCTTGCACGGTTTTGCAGTGCTTCAATGTGAATGCGAGGATTGATCAAAGAAGCAGCTGCAGCAGCAACAGTAGACTTGGCTTGCCCAATGTTCCAGTCACGGAAGAGAAATTGTCTACTAAGATTGCTCTTCTCAATGACATCATCATCTGTAATTGTTAGCTTCCCTTTATCACCACAACAAACCCCCATGAGAGCTAAATTCTTCAAGAACTCACACCCAAGCGCACCAGACCCAACAACAAAAGCTTTTGCCTCTTCCAGCTTCTTCTGTAGCTTGTTTCCAAAGACTGAGATTTGAGCATCATAACGACTATTCAAGGGCTTCAAATCATTTGGATCCAAGGGTGCGGTTGGAAGAGATTCAACAGAGTCAAAGTAGAAAAACTGACGCAACAAATGAAAAGGAAATGGTTTAGTGACAGAACATTCCAAGTCTATCAAAGAGCAAACATAAATAACAATATAAGGCTATATGCAGCATCACAAACTAATTTAATCCAAATATTTGGAGCTCAAGGAACAGTTATCACAGTGCCAAAGATACACGGGATACCAAGATTGACAATCGAGAAGACAAAATCATTTCATATCCACAAGATCAGGCTTCAGAGGCAACAAAATGTTGAGATAGAGTTCCATTGCACTCCAATCTAATTGTGTTACAAATCTATAATCTACTATGAACTTATTCAAGCAAGGCAGCTACAATTTAAAATAGATCATCCCGACCAAAAACTGCAAGAGATTTAAAGGTCCTTTTGTCACACTAGATTTGCAGATCGATTATAACAATTCATTTACTGACCTGGTAAAGTGGATGGAACTTCCCAGAGCAAGCCTTCACAACTTCTTGCCCAACAATACCACCAAACATAGCAGCCATTGGGTTTAGCACAGCCCTTGCACCGAATGCAAAATTCCGAAGAAGTTTCTGGTCAATCTCCTCTAGTTTTCCATCAGAGAGACTATTGTTCAGGTCAGTCACAAATGATATTAGCCTCTGAGCATCTTCCTCAGATCCAGCAAGAGGGAAACGTCCTGATTCAGACACAAACCTATCTAGTGCCTGGAAGGCCAAGTGTAAAATAGGTGGGCGGTCAAACTTGGAGAAGTCACTCAGAAGAAAGTCACCAGGATCCTTAATTGCTTCTCGCAGTGGCTTGAATTTTAACACTTTAGGTTCCTTGACCTGAGTGACAATACCCCCTCTTTCATATGCTGCATAATTTGAAGTGTCCTCTTCAATAGTAAATGAATATGGCCTCGCATTTTTTATTTTTCTAGGCTTCCCATCATTCAGTTCTGTCATGCCCCGCACTTCAGAAAATATAACCAAGTCCCCGTCCTGAAACTCGAGCCTCTCATCATCAA